AACAGACAGACAACATTTAACATTTTTATGTATACAGACATTGGATATAATACAGTGAAACCCCTCTAAACCGACTGCTCATCGGACTACCGTGAAATACTGGTTTGAAGGGGTTGACGGTTTACCCATATGAGTGGCAAGATAACATTATCTGTAGCTATTGCCCTTTTAAAATGTTTAATTCTGTATCTTCATTTCTTTACCAAATTGGGCACCTTAGCTTGGATGATAGGATCAGAAATTGCACGAGCCTTCGAAAACCATTTAAATTGTTCAAATGTCTGTACAAATGTTTTATAGAGGATGCAGTTTTGAGGGGTTTCACTGTACATAATAAATTAGCACTACAATCTACAACAGATAAGCTATGGGAGAGACATAGCATAAGAGGGATATCTTATGCCAGCAAAACCAAAACCACTATTAAACTGCTACTAGGCTACATAAAGTCTTTCTGCCTAACACCCTTACATCAAGTTACAAGTTATTTTATGGTTTTAGAACTATGAGGGTTATTCTTGAAAAAATAACAATGTCATGTAACCCATAAACCTGTGAGAATACAAACTTCAGCTTACCAATTTTCAATATAACTGAAAAATGAACCGAAAGAGGCTGTCATATTGTTCTACTTAGGGTTTTGCTAAAACACATTTTATGTTATCTTATCAAGAAATGGGATCTTCACGTCTCATTTTGAATGGCTATGTCATATAATGAACCTGTGGTAAAAAACTTGTTAGATTACAATTACAAAATAAGATATTTGTGAGAATATCTATATTCAAAATCCAATCACAACATATGTGCCTATATAGTTTCTTTGACTTTACATTCTAAAACCTAGTGGAGATTTCATGCAATTAAAACAGTTGCATTTATAAAATCGGTCTAAACTATCCATGCTGTATTTAATTCAGGTTACTTTTTAAGATAGCCTTGCAAAGCAAGGAGACATATGCCCACCAGCAGCTTTGATTACAATATACGACATTACCATACCACATTATAATGTGTATACAATTGTGTTTTTACAAAGAAAGAGGTTGAATGCATAATTATTAGGGTTTTTTTAGGCTTTATAGTTGTATAAATATCTAAGTAGTTAGCCAAAAATTCTTCATTAAATCAGCACATGATAAAATTGCAGGATGTTATAAGTCATTGTTTTTGATATTACTATCAAGAGATGTTTAAAAATCTAGATAACACTTTCAAATATCATATATATCTAAACAGTTACACATGCATGAACATAGCTATGAACAAATAAGGCAAAATAACAATTGTGTAGTGCACAAAATTCAGTCAATTGATCTTACCCATGATAATCTAGACTAAAATAAACCATAAAGAGAAATAAAAATATTGGAGACAGAAAGGAAGAGTGTGATCTGACAGAAAATCTGTGTATTTTTGTGATTCCTGATGCATTTGAAATGCCAGAATAGAATCAAGGAGCTATCAATGAGTTTGTTTATCTCATTTCTTTGTCACTAAATTATTTGGTAATCATACATATCTACGAGACTGTATTTTTTCACAATAGTCAAGGTATTACATCTTATACCTTAACTACAATGGCACACTTTCTTGTTTGATTGAATTGTATGTCAGCGGATGATTAAGCCAATCAGAGCCCTGCCCATTTGACTTCATGCCTAATTAATTTTTATAGTCTTTCTGTTGATGGTTCAGAATGGCTGTATTCCCTAGAGTACAATCGAATGGAATTGCTTCTGTGAAACAAGAAAGTGGCCCATTACATTTAAGATGAATATGAAATACCTTTACTATTGTGAAGATGCAAGCCAACAAGTATTTCAAAAGATAGCTTGCCAGGCAAGATAATATACGCCCACCGGCAGCTTTGATTTTGAATAAAAATATTTAGCAGTGCAGTACAGTAACAATAACCAGTATGAAATATTCTTTAGGGCGATACTGAATAATATTGAGTATGAGTTATTGCCCTTGTTATTGAAATCGTGTCCAATTTTTAGC